TGTCAATGATTGAAAAAGAGGGACGCATGGACTTATTTGTTGTAAGGACCTTGCATTTTGCAGAAAGTAGGCACAACGTTAATTCTACCTAGGCTCTAAGGATGCATGCTGTCATCTCTAAAGCAACCTCTATAAATTAACATAAGGAAGTATAGTTAAAAAGCAAGTCAAGGTAAAATACTAAATTAAAAAAATAGTTTAATCTGAAAGAAGGCAGAAGAAAGGGAACAGAGAAACAAAACAGAAATGAGACTAATAGAAAACAAATAGCAAAATGGTAGATTTAAATCTACTATATAATTTTTACATTAAATATAAAGAGATTAAACATGCTGGTGGAAGGTCAGAGACTGTTCAAATGAACAGAAAAGCAATACTAGGCAAAAGGATGTTTACAGCAGACACATTTTATACAAACACACACATCAATTGAAAGTAAAAGAATGGAAAAAGTGATCATGCAAAGAGAAATCCCAAGTGAGCTGATGTGGCTATATTAATATCAGATAAGTAGAATTCAAGCAAAGTAATATTACCCAACAATAAAGGAGGGTATTTTACAATGTGAAAAGAGTCAGAAGACATAGCCATTCTAAATGTATCTGCACCTCATTGTGAAACTTCAAAATATATAAAACAGAAACTAATAGCACTAACATGAGAAATAGAAACCTACGTAATCATTGCTGGAGATTTTAACACTCATCTTTGTGAAATTGATGGAACAAGTAGGAAAGATGATGGATGATGCAGAAGGTGTAAGAAATATTATTTTAAAAATAGTTGTTTCTTGAATATTCTACCCAAGCACTGCAGAATTTATATTCAAATCTCCACAGAATGTTCACCAACATAGATCATATGCTAAGCTATGAAACATGTGTCAATACATTTCAAAAGAATATGCAGAGTATATTCTCTGAACAAAATTATGAAATTAGAAATCAAAACTAATAAGCTATCTGGAGAATTATTTGGCAATTAAATAATATTTAATATATTTCTACATAATATGTTGGTTAATGAAGAAGTTACTAGTTAAATTAGAAGAGATGCTTAATAATATTAAAAACCCAATATGTAAACATTTTCAGAATACAGCAAATGTGCTTAGAAAGACATGAATAGCTTTACATATATTAAATGGCTATATTAGGAAAATAAGAAAGTTTTAAAGTCAATGATTCAAGCTGCTACTTCAAAGAGCACGAAAAAGACATGCATACTCAGCCTTGGAATATAATAAAGACAAAACAGAACTTAGTGAAATAGAAAAGAATCCAACAAACAAATTTTAAAAATTAACATTAAGCCCAATATTGATGTTTTTGAAAGGATTAATATGATAAACTCCTAACTAGACTGATAAGAAAAAAAAGATTTTAAAATACATATTATCATTATGAGGAATGAAAGAGGATATATCATTATAGATCTTACAGTAATTAAAGGAATTCATAGTCATTTGTTGAAAATATATCTCCTTTAATGTCACTTTTAACGATTTCTTTACTTTTTCCAATGAATTTGATCAGTCTAGCTAGGAGGGTCTTCTGAATAACGCTTTATCTGTTAGTGTAGTTGAATCAGTAATTACAAAAACCTTTTCATATACAGAACTCACTGGTGAATTCTAATCAACATTTAAGGAAGAAACACCACCAACCTTTTTCAAACTCTTTAAGAAAACAGAAGAGGAGGGGATACTGTCAACTGATTTTATTAGGTCAGCACAACTCTGATGATCAATTCTTGAAAAGAAATTATGAGAAAGAAATTTCCCAATAATATCAATCAAGAACACAAATGTAAAAATCATGAGCAAATATTAGCAAATCAACTCAGCAGATTATAGAAATGAACAATAGATCACGACCTAGTGAGGTCATCCCAGGAATGCAGATTGACTTAACATTCAAAGTCCAATGGAAAAAACTAAAGATCAATCAATGTAATTCACCACAGTAACAGAACAGAGGAGGAAACAATATAACTATATCAATAGATGTAGGAAAAAATTTGACAAAATTCAACACAATTGTGTGATAAAATCTCTGAACGAATTGGGATTAGAGATGAACTTCCTCAGTGTGATAAGGGGTATCTGTATAAAAACCAACAGCTAACATCACGCTTATTCATGGTGAAATATTATACAATTTACTTTTAATATTAATATATGGAGCAAGGTAATTATAATGTTCAAGAGCAGGCAACATTTAGCAATTATGATAGAAATGAGAATAATTGTTACTTACTGGAGTCAGGGAGGGGTTGAAAGAGGGGCACAGGGAAGGTTCTGGCTTTATGTAAATAAAACGTGTCTTGATTAAGATGCCAGTAACATGGGAGAATACATTTGTTAACATTCAGATTGCGCATGTAAAATGAGTGTGTTTCTCTGCATGTAAATATTTCCTCAAGAATAAAAATGCACCTTGCATTTAACTTTTCATTGCCTATGTTTTCCAAATGACACCAGGGCACCATGAATGACACAGTCCGTGGTCACAAAGCTAACTAGCATGGAAACCAGAAGCATGATCTAGAAGATCCTACCTTTGGGGAAAAAAAAAAAAACCATTAATTTTTCGTCCATTTTCCTTAACAAACAAAGAAGAGTAACACTGAAAAAAAAATTTCTTAGGGAATTCACATCTTCTGCCCACAAGAAAAGGCACTATTGAGAATGGCTGCTGCTGCTGCTGACGGATTTACAGCTCTTGTTCCAGTCTGGGACTCCCCAGCCGAGGAGATAAGGATCCAGTTCTGGCACAGAGCTGGATTGAACTCTGGGGGAGCTCTGCTTGACTTTAGAAGAAAGAAGATTATCACGTTAGATTGAAGTTGGGAGCATTCCCAATGCATTTTGAAATGTGTGGAAGTTTCTGGAGGACTATATTTTTTTTCTAATTTCTTCTTGATTTCATTATAAACTAGAATAAGAGAAACCTTAAAAATAGTTACTTTTATTTAATTTATGGGTAGCTTTTCCTGTGTTTGATAGAGCAGGTTCCTAAATCTCAATTTTCCCTTTCTAGCAGGAGCATATGTCTCTGTGTCACATGAGGAATTTCTGTTAGTAAATCACTCTGGTAAAGTTCCTGGGGTTGACGGAGTAGATACTACCTTCTGTGAGAGACAACTCTATAAATACCTTGTTTGAGGGAAATTTATTAATCAGTAGCCCTAGGTAGGCTGCTGCTTTATAATAAAATATGCTTATATTGGGAGAGAGGAGGGGGACTTTGTTTTTTTAAAACCATTTTTTAAAATGCAGAGTATTAATTTGCCAATTTACACTGACTAAACGTTATTGCTGAACTCCCACATGATAAATCAGAAAGAAAGATCCAACCTAACAGGCCAAGTCGGCTCTCAAATGAAAATTGATACCCACAACAGTATCTCCTGTCATCTTCTTTGCCAGTGAAACATGTGTTCCCTGTTATACAGGACCAGCCTTAACATACAGGATTTGACATTTGGTAGGTACCCAATAAATGTAGAATACATCAACATCAGTTACACTAAATAAAACAGTCTTATGAATCATGTTGCATTGAGCATGTGCCAATAATCACTTGCCTTTTTAAAGTCCAGCATGCAGAGCTTGGCTTTCTCTCCGAACTGCCACTTGCATTGTGTGTTTGCATCATATAATTCTCCTGGCAATTTCTCAGGATACTTATATTCCTTCACAGGCTTTGGTTGATCAGCAAGGCAGATAGCTTGAGCAGTGCTGAAACAAAGAGGAGATGAGCTACTAGTAACTGCCCACAGAGTAACCAAAGGACATACAACTAATTATGCCCTTTTACCCCATGCAATTTTACAGCATATATTGTGTATACCAAGCGGAGAACTTTTTGTCTCCTGAGGTACAATGTAATGTTTATCTTAATTATATGTAAATACAGAGACTTCAATTTCTGAAATTATTTATTATACATTGTACTTGTTCCAGAAAGATGATTTGTACTTATTAAATTTCTTAAACTTATGAGGAAAAGTGTAACTGAATAATTACAGCCAGTTTTCAATGTGAGAAGCTCTTACGATGGACACCTTTTATGCACGTTTCTTGCCAGAATCAACCAAAAGATGGGCATTATAAAAATAAAGCACAGTTTTTTCAAAGACTGGAATTTTCTTTCTTTCTTTGCTTTTTATTCTTTTTCCCTCTAGGGTAAGGGACACCTGTATATTATCTTCCAGATTCTAGAGGTTCTTCATGGAACACTGGATTTCCACCAGCAGTGCTCTATATTCAGGATGATTTCTGATGACCCCCAAGTCAAGCAGAAAATTAACCTTGCTAAAATTCATTGGTAGATGGCTAAAGACCAACTAATAATTTCTTTTTCCATAAATAGATTATCCTCTTCTCTGCCAGGATGTTCTTTGGTATAATTTATGCATTTGGTGAAGAGTATTTAAATATTTTTGTGTTTTCAAATAGCAACTAAATCCCTCCTATAAATTTCAATAGGCCCTTCCCCGAGAAAACCAAAAAACAAAAACCTATAATCACAATATAATAAACAATGGCAGATCATCCTCCAAAATTGGCTCTGCATGGTTGTCCACCTTGATTGGAAGATTTCTGGCTCATTTCTAGGACCCCAGTCCCATGTTCCACTGCTTCAGAGCTCAGGACTCTGTGCATAAAAAGCAACAAATAGCCCAGATGGGTTCTCTGTGAATTACACCAGAGACTAGGGAAGAAATTACACTAATTCTCTACAATCTCTTCCAATAAATCAGAGCAAAGGGAATATTTCCTAAATTATAAGATGAGGTCAGCATTATCCTAATATCAAAACCAGACAAACATGTCACAAGAAAAGAAAGTTTTTCTTATCTCTCATAAACATAGATACAAAAATTCTCAACAAAATGTTAGCAAATTGAATCCAACAATGCATGAGAAGAACTATACACTATGACCAAGTGGGATTAATCCTAGGTCTGCAAGGCCTGTTCAATATTCAAAAGTCAATTAATGTAACCTATTACATCAATAGTCTAAAGAAGAAAAAACACATGATCATATCAATAGATGAAGAAAAAAACCATTTGATAAAATTTAACACTTATTCGTGATAAAAAAAAATTCTAGCAAACTAGGAATAGAGGAGAATTTCCATCTACAAAAAATATACAGTTAACATTATAATTAATGGTGAGAAACTTAAAGCTTCTCCACTAAAATCAGGAACAAATAAGAATGACTCCTCTCACCACTCCTTTTCAACACTGTAATGGAAGTACTATCTAGTGTAATAAAGCAAGAAAATTACATAAAAGGTATACAGATTGGAAAAGAACAAATAAAACTATCTTTGTTCATAGACGATATGATTGTCTATGTAGAAATTTGAAAGAATCCACCAAGAAATTTCTGGAACTAATAAGTTATGGTAAAGTTGCAGGATAAAAGGCTAATATACAAAAGTCAATTGCTTTTCTACATGCCAGTGACAACCGTGACAACCGAACAGAATTTATTGAACATTAAAAACATGTCATTTATATTAGCACCCCAAAAATGAAATAGATATAAATCCAGCAAAATATGTACAACACCTACATGAGAAAAATCTACAAAACTCTGATGAAATAAATCAAAGAAAAAACTATAGAGAGGTATTTCAGGTCCATAGATCGGAAGACTCAATCTTGTCAGGAGATTAGTTCTTCCCATTTTAATCTACAGCTTTGGTGCAATGCCAATCAAAATTAAAGAAGTTGTTTTAAGGATATAAACAAACTGATTCTAAAGCTTATATAGAGAGGCAAAACACTTAAAATAACCAGAGCAATACTGAAGGAAGAGAACAAAGACTGACAATACCCACCTTCAAGACTTACTATAAAGTTACAAGGAATGGACAAATAGATCAGTGGAACAGTATAGAAAGGCCAATAATACACCCACATACACATAGTCAACTAATCTTTGACAAAGGAGCAAAGGCAATGGAATGGAGAAAAGATAGCCTTTTAAACTGGTCATACTGAAACAACTGGGCATCTAAACGCAAAAAAATTAATCTGCCAGGCACAGTGGCTCACACCTGTAATCTTAGCACTTAGGGAGGCCAAGGACGGTGGATCAGTTGAGGTCGGGGAGTTCAAGGCCAGCCTGGCCAACATGATGAATTCCCGTCTCTACTAAAAATACAAAAATACTAGCCAGGCATGGTGGTGTGCATCTGTAATCCCAGCTACTCAGGAGGCTGAAGCAGGAGAATCACTTGAATCCGGAAGGCAGAGGTCACAGTGAGCCGAGATCACACCACTGCACTCCAGCCTGGGCAACAGAGTGAGACTCCATTTCAAAAAACAAAATAAGATAAATAAATTTTAAAAATGCATGTAAATGCAGACCTTATACTCCATACAAAAACTAACTCACAATGGATCATAGAGCTAAATATAAAATGCACAACTATAGAACTCCTAGAAAATAACATAGGAGAAAATCTGGGTGACCTTGGATATGACAATGGCTTTTTTAATACATCAAAGGCACAACCAATGAAACAAATAATGACAAGCTGTACTTCATTAAAATAAAAAATGTCTGCTCTGTGAAATAAATGTCAAGAAAATGAGAAGACAAGACACGGAGTGGGAGAATATATTTGTAAAAGACAGGACCAATAAAGGACAAAACATACAAATAACACTTACAATCCAAGAATAAGAAAACAATAAAAATAACAAAAAGAATAACAAAAAGTGGACAAAAATCTGAACAGACACCTAATCAAAGAACAGATATAGATGGCAAATAAGCATATAAAAAGATCTCAACATCATATGTCATTAGGGAATTGCAAACTCAAACATCAATGAGACACCACTATACACCTCTTAGAATAGAGAAAATTCAAAGCACTGACAATGTCAAACACTGATGAGAACATGGAGAAACAGGAACTCTCATTTACCTCCAGTGAGAATGCAAAATGGTCCAGCCACCAAAAGTGTGGGTGCAGAAAGGAAAATCCTTTCAACCATTTTAAAAACAATCGACCACAATAACCATATGGATAAAATGAGTGTTGACTTTTTTCCATGCCATATACAAAAATTAAGTGGTCTGCATGTGATAAGCAAACAATAAAACTTGTAGGAGATCATGTGGAAGAAGACCTTTGCAACTTTGGGATGAGTAGAGGTTTTTGGTTTTTTTTTTTTTCTAGCAGAGTACAAAAGCACTAACCCTAAAGACATATCAATAATTTGGACTCCATTAAAAAAATAAAAATTTCTGTTCAGCAGAGCCACCACTAAAAGTGTAAATAAAAAGTCACAGAGTCAGAGAAGATTTTATAATACATATATGCCAGAATGGGACAAAATGTTTATATTCAGAATGTATACAATACTCTCATCAAGAGAGAAGAAAAACAACAGGGTCCCTTTATTTTACATGCACAAAAGATTTTAGCGCTTTACTAAGAAGGTTACTCAAGTGGCCATTAAACATATAAAATGTATTCAATCTTATTAATTAATACATTGATATGAAATTTCACACTACCAGATACCTAAAATGAAAAATATCAACATGACCAAGTGTTGGGAAGGATTTGAAACCATTTTGAAAATTTCACAAACACTTCTGGGAGTGTAACTTCACACAGTCACTTAGGAAAGCTGATTAGTACTGTCTATTGCACCTGTGCATATATATTTATGACTCTGAAAATTCCATTTCTATATATACTCAGAGACATATATGCAAACCAAGACAATATTCACAGTGCTGTTTCTTGTAATAGCCAAAAATTGGAAACTCAAATGTCTATTACAAATTGAATGAATAAGTTTTAGTATATTTATATATTTAGTATGTAAGTTATATGCAACAAACTAAGTAGACTAATGCTATATTTAGATGCAGGAACAAGGATGAATCTCACAACTGCACAATGGTGCATAACTCCTGATTCCAATATACAGTGTTCCATGTCAAGAGTTAAAGAGCTTGAGAGATCTTTTAGTTATATCCCATCATTTTTCAGTTAAGAAGACTGGGACCCTCAGAAAAGGCTATATTACTCGTCAAGGTCAAGACCTTCCCAGACATGGGTGAGCAAGACATGACCTGATTCCCTCGGTTCTTCTCTCCTCTGCAGGAAAGTGCCTACCCTCCAGTCTTAGAGTCACACTAGCACTGCAGACACAACAACTAGCCATGACCTAAGATGAGCCTTGTATCTCAGAGCAGGATGTAAATTGAAATGTATTATTTTCATTGTGTGCAAAAACATGCTTAATGGGCTCTCAGGTCAGATCTCATTTCCTATCAACAGAAGTAGTAGGGGGTATGGCGCCACTTACACTCCCAGTTCCCTGTGATGTTGGTCACCATTCTCATGCTTTGATGTGTTCAGATTCATATGGTCAGAGAGCTGGCATTTTCACTGATCTGCAGAGCGTGACTTAAATTTTTAAAAAGTAAACTGAAGATGAGTCCCTGTTGTCATGAAATTTTAAATAATGAGCTCAAATTTCCCTAAGTCACAGGCCTTCGGGATGCAGACATGAGTAATGTGATGAGGTCTGTGTCTGTTAATGGAAAATGACAAATGACTTTATTGACTTGGTTGATGAATTCACTCCAAAAAAGTATCAAGCCTTCATAACTCTACCAAGAATAGAGAAAAGTTGTGCTGAAAACTTCAGGCCAATTGAGTTCCCTTATATTTTTTTTTCCACTATCAAATGCTAGACTACTAATAACGAGAACAGATTCATCTTAAAAGGTAGCCATTTATCCTTACTCATTGTTGGGATCATAGCCAAAGAGCTACCTAATTGGTGGAGAATATAACAGTATTTTGATTACTTGGAAATCAGAAAGTCAGCAAACAATCAAACAAGACAGTCTCAGATTCATTAAGTCAGTGAAAAAGTCAAGATTTAACACACTGTAGAAGTGTCCAATTTGCAACTGGTTTTCGAGTAAAATGAATCTTAATAGTGAACTTGACAACAAGAGACTTTCTTGGAAAATTTCACCATTCAAGAAAACAAATTTGGAAGCACGTAAAACCTTACCTATTTATTTATACTCATGTGGTCAGAAAAAATTAGTAAAGTCCCTGAAAATAAATGTTTATCATTGAAATGCTACAGAAGTGTTTTGCTGGATTCACACAAAAACACATCAGCACACTTCAACTTATAGTTCAGGTGTTCCAGTATCATAGAATGAAAATGGCTTTTAATTTCAGTATCTTAATAATCACTCTTAGGACTATATTATATCTTCAAGATGACAATCTATTTTCAATGTCCTCAAAATAATTACTCTCCGAGCATGTAATTATCTTCTTTCCATGAGTCTGCCTATATTTTTTTGGCAGTTTCAAAACTTTTCTTGGACTTTCATTATGCTGGTTCTCACTGCACACCCAAATTATAATCCACTGATTTTTCAAGTTGTCAGAGGATATTTCAAAGTAGAAAAAGTGTTACTGTATCTTCCTCATAACCATTAAGATGAAAAAGAGGGTTAAAAAATTCTGAATCTAGAAATTTATAGAAAGGATCTGGAATATAGAAAACTCCAAATTTTCCTCGTTAATGCAAATAAGAGCATGGTGAGCCTAAAGTGAATAATCTTCCTTGTTTCCCAAAGTAGAATTTCTACACACACAGAGAGGAAAATGTGAACAGCTGCAAGAAACAGCTAAAAACAATGTTAACAATCCCCAGCTTGACTCTGATAATACCATGCAGGGAAAAACAAATGCTAAGTGTACTCCTATACATCATGTCAGTTGTAGAATAGCTTTAACATTGTCTTTTTTGGTAATATAAATTTTTTTTTTAAATGATCAAGTGTATATTCCCAGAATATGGGTTTATATTACCAAGATACACATGTTGTCCAAACTATTGCCACTTATCCTGGGTGGCATAAACTATGAAACACAGTTGTTCCTTAATGTGTTAATATACCTTGACTTCGTCCTTGGAGTAGGAACACCAAAAAGGACCAAGCTAGAGGAACACAGCCCCTGGAGGCTGATGATCAAGATTCTGGCTGGGAAGATGATCCCTAGAGAATGAGGGAAGAGGCAGCCATAGGGGCAACCCAGCCCCAGGTTAGCCCTGGGGCAACAGGCCACCAGAAAGTAAGCTGGAGTAAAATCAACAGAAGTACTGGTGTGATCCTACTCAAATAGTGTCCTGGAAATAAGAAGACTTAATTTGTGCAACAGAAAAAAAAAAAGAACTGTATTAATTAAATAAATGAATAAAAAAGGAAGAAAGAAAACAAAAGAAAAAGTAGGACACAAAGAAGTAGGTCAGTGAAAGGAACCAGAGAGGCCGGTTGAACACTGAAGAATCTACAGGATCTAATAGGGTAGGGGAACTTTGTTCTTAGTTCTCAGTTTGGAATAACTAGTTCCTAGTTTTGACTGAAAAGACATGTACTTTACAAAAACTTGGAGGGCAGATAATCTGGTTTCCTAGCCTGGGGACTTCTTGGGTGCTGCCAAGTTATTCTTTTCTTCCACCAAATCTGGTAGAATCTCCTTGGAGATTATTTCATTGGTCATGCAAACAGCTAAACTCATCTTACTGTATACATTAAATATGTGTCTTTTTGCGTATTAATTTTAGCTCATTAAAGCTGTTACTTAAAAAAACCTTTGCTTTTGTTGGAAGTATTAGTATTTGTCCTACTTTTTAATAATAGAAATGTAATTCCTTTCTTGTCAACTTTCAAACTTTCCTATCACAACTAGCTAGTTCCTTAGAATCTATACATTTGTGTCCTTCTCTCTGTTCTTCATTTTTAAATTTTTATTTGCTTCTCCTCCTCATCTAACTTTCAACTTTACTAGTAATCTTGTGATTTCTTGTGCAATCTCCTCCAAATTCTTAAGGTGGTTGTGTTTGTTAATGTTTCCCTAGAACACTCCCTTGAATTAAGAATAATTAAGAATAAAGAATGCTTTCTTTGATGAATCTCAAAAATACAATTTTCAAAAACATTGTGAATGAATTTAATTGAGAACTAAACATGACAGCCCATTTCCCTTCAGTATTTTCAAGCATTCGTGTATTTTGAAAATAAGGAAACATTTTTGTGTATCTCCTCTACCAGAATCAGTGAACTACTGTGAGTCAGTATGTTTGTTAAGAGCAAACACAGTCCTTCTATGTGTCTGGCAAAATAAATTTCTGGCTAATGAATAAACATATCCTCCATCCTGAATAAGAGTAGGTCTGGGCCGGGCGC